ATATTATAACATCGACTGAGATAAATAATAAAATGAAATATTAAAAACACGATGTATCTCGCTGCATTGCGCGAGTACGCTTCTAGTATATATATATATATATATATAGAGAGAGAGAGAGAGAGGGAGAGGGTTAGTTTCAAATGCAATCCATCACATTTGTACAACCAATGCAACCCAATAAATTAAAATATTTATGAAAATAATGAGAGTTCATTTATTATGATTTAAATATTTATGAAAGATTAATAAGGTTCATTAATTATATATATATATATATATATTTCAAGTTATAATAATCAGATGATTAATAAGTGGTGTGTAGGTATGCTATCAAATAAGCGGGATGATTTTATCTGAATACAATATACGTTTAAGGTTTGATTTGAGATCTTGTTAGTTTCAATCGTTATGTAAGTTAAAATATATGACAAATTTTGTATGGAATCGGTTAAGAATATTGGTAATTAATTTTTTACTCAAACAATTAGATAATCATTTGTTTGAGTATTTGAAAAAATATTGATTATTTAAATAATTAATAAATAAAATAATGGAAATTGACAAAATGAAACAAATATATAAAAGTCTCACAAATTATGTTTTCAAAATAGGTAAAAGCATAAATTTTTTTGTATTAATTCTAATTTATAGAATGGTTAATATTTTTTCACTATTATAAGGTGTCGTTTTTTAAAATGTGTTGAAGTCTGAAGTTTAAATTAATAAGATTGTTTTTTTTTTGTAAACTGATAAATGTCTATTTTAAAATTTATACAAGTTCACATATTTATTCAACATCATTACGAAATTTACATCTAAAAATTATATAATTAGTATTTATTTAAATGAAAATATGACATTAATGGTATTTAACACATTTAAATCCTATTAAAATACATCAATTGAGAGAGGTAATGATCGATTGAGATAAATGATTGATTACGATTAATCAATTGAGAAACGACGTTGTTGAGGTTTGAAGAACAATGAGAGACAAATAAGAAGTTGGTTTACTTCTTACCATATAAGAGGACAATAAGACATAACTGTCTTTAAAAAACTAAAAAAAACAAATAATTTGAATGGTCCTACCTCTTAACGAATCAAACGTAAGAGGTTGATAAGGTTTTTTTTTTTTTTATAAAAAACAAACAAGGCTTAAATGTAAACATCTAATTCTTTATTTCTACTTATTTTGATTATTAATTGGTAGGTTTTTTTTAATTAACCTGGATATCCAACTCGATATGCGAGCAGACTATTCTAAGGGCGATCACCTGCTTTGCAGATAGCCCGGAGTCACCGCATTTGAACATTTGTGGCCACAAGAAGATTTTTATTCAAGGGAATCTAGGGAAGAAATTGGAGAGAGAGGGGAAGTGAACATTAATCAAATAACTGTTATTTCATTTGACATGAATATCGTACTCTGTTAGCTCGTGACAGAAGTTTCCTCACCACCCTTGGATCCATTGGTTTATTCATATAAGATAGCACATAATATCGTTGTTACATTGTCCGATGATATTTTACGAGCTCGAATTTTTGTAATATTATTTTAAATAAATGTTACTAAATAACTAGGTAATGGTTCAAACATGAACACATGTATTTTACAAAAAGACGAAATTATCCTTTTATTATAGTCAATAGTACGTGATACTAAATTAGAGTCGTGGACGACCTTTGACACGACCTTGGTCGCTGGTCAAGTCATTCATACACCCTCAACCCTCCTCACATGTATTATCATATGTAATAAAAGTGTTATCGTATTTTCGTAAAATTAATATGTTCTCAGTTGAACCTATTGTTAAAATATGAGTTGCAATGTTTTATCGAATCTTTTTTTACGAAGGAAAGCGAAAGAAAAAACGTTTAAGCGAGTTTATGAATGAATAAAACCAGTCGAAGGAGCGGCCAAAGATGAAAGCTTTGATTACGTTCTGCTACGGTTGACGTTTTACTCTTGCCTAAAACAACTATCTTCTCTTCGGGAACGGTAAAACAACCATATTCTCTTTAGGAAACGGTTAAGAATCATCTCTGTATGCACGTCATTTCTTGTTTATTCTTTTAGTTTGTGATTCTTATGAAATCTCTTGTTATCGAGTTTTTTAGGAGGTAAAAGAAAAAAAATAAAAAAATAAAGGGTTGTTTGTTTACCTCTTAATAGTTTCATTAGGCAACATCTGGGTTGGTTTGAGGTGAATCTTGTTTGACAAAAAAAACTCAGCCTCTTAATAGTCGAAAATCATTTGAATGCTTTTGTATCTTGGACCTTCCTTACCATTATGCTTTAATTTCATTTTGAATAATTATTAAACAATTATATTTTATTTTATACGATTTCATAAAAATTTCTTAATCATTCTAACCACGTAATAATTTTGTGTCAAATCATTCAACAATTATCAAAAAGTAAGACTGATTTTAACCTCAAATATGATAGAAAAGGGAGCGAAAAAAAAAATAAAAAATAAAAAACAACACAAATAATTATTCCTATTTTCCTTCATTTTCGTTTTCCCCCCTTTTTCTTTTAACAAGAACCAATCAGATTCCTCATACAACTCATCGGTGTTCGGTGGCAGTATAGTCGGTCTTCTTCTCGTCCGTCACCATCACTGAAACTCAGACTGTAAGCTGTTGCACTAATCTTCCATTGCAGTGCTCCTCGGAAGCTCGGGGTTCGTATTCTTTTCTCACCTCACTAGATACGCACAATTCAGAAGCGTATAGGGAATTCGCACAATTCCGAAGCTTACCGGAATACGGCGAAATGATTATGGTCCGATTGAATTTGACGACTACAGAAGATCCATCTTCATTCTGGAAGCTTTGAGTTGGCAAATTTCGTAGGAATTTGAAATCTCTCGATGATCCGCGCTCAGAACGGCGATTCAGTATGTAACTCAGGTGATATTTTCTTCTCTAATACTAGGTAAATTGTTTTAGATTTGGTTACATTTCTAAGATGATGCAATTTCTACATTTTATATGATTTAATGTATCTCGTCCTTTAGTAGTACAAACAAACCTAATCACCATAACAGTGGGCGGTCAAACTAAGTATGCCTTTGATAGGCAATTTGGACAGTCAGGCGTAGTTCTTGCTATGTAAAGAAGCCTGTCCACTAGCATTCTGTAGAGAGGTGTGTATGTGTAAAACTAGGCTGTAGACTGTAGTCATGTCAAGAATGACAGTGGGATCCACTGGAACCGCAGGGGGATTCTATTCACCAAGTCCAATAGTTGAACCAAACCCATCGCATACTTTCCATGATGAAGATGGAGACCAGATTGAGACATCATAATCTCCATCCCAAGATAATACTTACATGGAGCCCAAATTTTTAATGTTCAATTGATCATCTGATGCCTTTTTATATGAGTGATAGAAGTGTTTGTGGACAAATGCCATCCACATAAACAAGTACTACATAATATGACCATAAACAAGAATGCTTATATTTTATTTTGCATAAGATTTGTGTATATCCAAACCGTGCTAGATAGTAGTAATTGAGAATCTGAGATAACCACGGCCTCAAGGCTTGTTTGAGCACATACAAAGATGTAACCTGCAAACAAGATTGTAATTACCACATCAATGCATATGGTCTTGAAGGATAAGTATGTTTACTACATAGGCATTATGGACATTTAGTTGATGTATTTCCTGATTTTAAATTGTTACAAAAATCAACAAACTTGTACTTAGAAGTCTCCTGCTACAGGGAACCTCTATTTTTGAAAATACTCCCCTTGTTTGTGTAATCCTTTGCTACAATCATTTCCTTGTGTATCTCTATAGAACCATCGAGATTGTTCTTGATCTTCTTAACCTACTTGCAGCTTACAGCTTCCTTGCGAAGGGAAGAGATGCCAAAACCTATGTCTTGTTTTCTTCAAGGGCAAGATATTTCTTATTTATAGCTTTAATTCGACTCCTGTACTCCATATAGTGTGTAAAGTCATGGTCTTGTGGTTCTATGTGCACACTAAGATTATTGAGAAGGTCCAATAAGACTTACTGACTGGTTTGAGGGGGCGCTTGGTTCATTTCAGGGGATGGAGATGGGAATGCTTAGAAATGGAAATGGGAATGAGTTTCAATCCCCCCCCCCCCCCNCTTTACCAATTTGTTGAGGAATGTGTTAGGCCACCCGTTGGTGGTGACATGCAAGAAAGAAGATCTTGACACATCAGCAAGTGGGGGGGGGACCGTTAGAGAATAGCAGCTCACTTGTGGTCCAGATGCTGAGTTTTTTAAGAGAGAGGGAGTAAATAAAAAGGGGAAGGAGTGGAGTTTTGGAGGGGAGGAAATGATTCTGGTTGTCAGTGGTTTGGGAGAGATTGGTAGACTCTCAGATCTGCTGCCTGAGTTTCGTAGTTCATCATTTCTGTTTCTTCCTTGTATTATATCATAATGCGTAGCCCGTTATCTCATCTAATTTCTATTGAGTATATTAAGGGCCACATCAGAATGCTTCATTACCCTGTATTTGATGATGACCCATTCCATTGCATCAAATTAGGGCACCATTAACGATTTCCATTTCCATTCTCCACCCTATTACCCCCAACCAGGCTCCCATGAAAGTTATCCAAGTAACGTCGAATTTGGTTTTTGAGAAAACTATGAGAAACTCTACGAATTGAAGGATGAGAGTCTTGAAAATGAATTTCATGTAGATTTTTAGGCAAATGCTTTCATCAAGAGGACTTTTAGGAAGAGCATGGAGAAGAAGTAGTGAGAATAGGAACTCAAAGGTGGGAAAAAAGTAAACAGTTGCATTTGAATTGTGGAGATTATGTGATGAAGAAAGATTGACGGTTAAAAGTTAGGTAACAAAGGAGCAGAAAAGGGTATCTATAAAGATAGTGGACTTGTGAACTTAAATAGGTTCAGGGTGAAAGACATATTTACAGATTTGGCACGCCTAGCAATTTAAATTGTTTTGTTAGGAAGACTATAAAAATACTTACTTTTTAGTTGAAGATAACCCATAAACACTTCTGTTTGTCCTTGCTTTGCCAGAAGGATGAATGGAAGCATAAAATAAGTAAACAACACATCTGACATGAGAATATTTAAGAATGACATTTTATAAAAACTCATGTGTTTTGTTTGTTATAGTTGGCGAATGCTTGCTGACAATAAGCTATGTAGTTGTTAGGAAAGAGTAACCACAAAAAGATGTTGGCACCTGTGAATGCAACAAGAAAGCGATAGACATGTCCAAAACGGTCCCAATGGTTTCTTTTGACTCTTCCATTCTTGGTGGACAAGGAAAATAACGTTGATGATGAGTGCCTTGTTATAGGAAGAATGAATTCAATTCTGTACTGAAGAATCTTAATCTTAATCTGACCTTAGAAGTTCGAATTGAGATTTAAATTTAGCTTTGACATAAAACCAAAAGGATTTTGTGACAGTGAACACACGTTGTTTGGTTGGCAGGAGATATCTCATGTAGCTCGAGATCAGTCATCTGCTAAAGTTCAAAAAGGAAATACTTACACCCTTGGTTATTGGCATAAAAACATGATCTGCAAGCAATGATATTGAAAATGAAGTTGCATTTTTTAGTTAGTGGGAAAATACCATAATACAAATGTCCTTTAGCCATACTGTTTTACAAAAGAAATATGCCAATTTTTAGTATATAATTCTACGATGTTCGATGATTGTAACTGTGATATGATTAATGATTATCACTGCCCAAACAAAAGATGTGCTAAATGGTTATAATCAGGAAATTACTTAGGCTGGTCGGAAATGTCCTTTATTGATATTAGATTAGAACGTTTGGTGAGAACACTTGCTGAATTATCTGGAACCTTATGATGAGCAAATTACTAGTGGTTTACAACATTTTACTTTTATTAGTTATTACATTGTAATGAAGCGGGATTTGCATGAATACAGGTGTTGGTGGGGTTTGCATGATGAGTTGCAAATGGAGAGACGAACAACACCCATCCTTCATAAACTTTATATCCTGCTTCCTGAGTGCAAATTCCTTCCGGTTAAACTTTGTGCCAATTGCACCTGTAAAGACCACCTGATTCATCACCAATTTATCTCTCTCTCTCTCTCTCTCTCTAGTTTGCATTAAATCTTCATCTTTCAGGATTTCATTTTTAACTGTGGGGGTTTATCGCTGGCTTTCATTTTCGTGATAAATTATGACTGCGACAATCCTGGGCCTATTTTTAGCAGGTAGCTGACATTTTATTTTTCAAGTAGCTCCTGCTTGTTCGTTTTGATCTTATTTTAGTTTATGCAGAGCTGAAAAACTGAAGAGTCAATTTGCACATCTCTATGTGGTGATTACCCTTCCAACAAAGGAGCAGAATGATTCTTTTGTACACTCTTATTTTAGGTGACGATCACTCACTTATTTTCCACATAATCTGGGTCAACATAATTGTAACAAACATGAAAGTGATCTTGTTTTATGTAGATATGGTATGGATATCGGTAGGCCGACCTTTATTCCAGCCCTAGATCTAGAGATGGGTTTCGAGAAGATTGTAAGAATAGCACATGCTCGTGGAGGTAAGGTTCCATGCTCAAAAGCTTGCGAGATTCTATATAATTTCAACAAAATAGAGAAACAAAAGTTAAACTCTTTAAAAACAATTACCTTCAACTCCAATAGTTTCTCCATTTTTGGAGATTTCAACATTAATAATACTATTAAAATATCGAATCGATATCCCAACACATTTTCAAATAAATTTTATATGAAATGATAATACATTCAACTTCATTGGTGGGAACAATAAAAAGAACCTTTCGCTCTCTTCAACATTTAATTTTGGAGGGTTCTCCAAATTTTGGAGATTTTTATCCTCTCTCTCTCCTGCTTTCTCCATTTCGGAGGACCTGTTTGAGAAAAACTAGGTTAAAAACTCCAAAATCTCGAGTTTGGAGGATCTGTGGGAGATGCTATGTTGTCACAAGAATTGTTCTCTGTTCTACAGTGTGCAAGAGGCAGGATGCCATATCCAAATTGAAAGCGGAGGTAAGCTTCTATTCTGTTCATTATCTTCCTTTCCAACCTTTTTCAGAGGTATCTCGTTGTTATCCGCTTTCTTTTTTCTTTAAGAAGGAGAGGTCGGTCCAAGGGATGGATGTGTTTCTCAGAGTGGTCTCCTCTATCCCCCGTCTTGAAAGCCATGACGCTAATGCGGTACTAATATCACTACTTTAAGGACCATGCATTTATTTTAGCGTAACGATGATATTTTTTCTCAATTAGTGTAACAAACATTCAATTCTTCCTATTCCGTACCAATTTTACTTCATAAACGGGTTTTTAGTCTACCTGACATCGGTTGATTTTGATATGATAGTTTTCCATTACAATTGATCTTGACAACTTGGCATCCACGTCATCAGTAATTACAAATCATATGGGTACGAAATAGGCATGATTGAAAGTTTGTTACACTAATTGTGGAAAAAGAATCATCGTCACTGAGGCAAACTTCGTTGTATTCTGATTCATTTCGGCGTTTATTTTAGCCTAGAAGTATTAATATCAAGTGGCTATGTGCTTTGAAAAATGCTTTAACACCTGTGAACACTTTCTGGTGATCTATTTACTGTCAACAGCTAATTCAAACGATAGGATCAATCGAAGCAATTGCTAAAGCATCGAAGGAGAACATTCTTAACAACACCGACGTTTCATCAGAAAAAGCCGAGATGATCTCAAAATTTTTCAGAGATTGCAAGGTCTATCTCAGCCCCAGAATTAGTTGACCCGACTGTTGCATTTGGTAAGATAGATTTTGCACTTACTTTCCGTATCAGAATCTTGTGGCGACCAGAGTTGCACGGGTCGCCATTTTTTGATTTTAGACTTTCCGAACTGGAAAAATCCTATTTTGATGTTAATCAACTCTCCGATGCATATACTTAACAAGTCAGGAAGCCTATTTCAGAAGCTTTAGGAAGAGTTTAGAGACAATAACTGATTTTCTGACATTAGATACTAGAATACACAATAAGAAAACATGTATGCAACTTTAGTGCCTGAAAAGAAAGAGAGATACACAAGAACAAAATGCATCTGTAGTATGCTCGTTAACGCAAGACCAAAAAAATTTGTACACAAATTGCCGATATTTAGAGTTTTGATATCCGGGTCTATTGTAAAAACGCTTTTCCCATCATCGTTTAGTTGATCTTTCTGTTTCTAGTATGCGCAATCGTCTTGGTTGATGATGTTACATGTTGTTTATGGTAGAGATGAGCAAGGACCGGTCCTATAAAAATCTTGTTTATGGTACCAGTGACAGGTCCGTTTCAAAAAAGTTTCGACTGATTAAGTACCGGCGGTCTAGTCTGATCTGGTCCTGCCTAATAACATTATGGTCTGGTCCAGGACAGGTCCGGTTTGGACCGAACAGTCCGGTCCTTTTGCCCATATCTAGTTCATTCCTTTATATACGGTAAATGAACTCAACACTCTTTTCAAATCTGATAAGGTTTGAACCTTTGACCTCACCATAAGCTTTTTGTACAAATCCTTGTACTTCTGCAAAAAGGTATGATAGATACCCTTTGGAGTGCCCCCACTGTAGCTACGGTCATTGTGGAGAAATAAATTGCCCCCACTGTACCTACGGTCATTGTGGAGAGGTAAATTGCATGCCCCAGGGCGTCCCTGCACGGCGTTTGAAGTTGAAACCGTATACCTCCCATTTATTCTTTGTTCGACTCCTTAACAACTAGCTAAAGTTGGGGGACCAAAATCTATAGTCTTTGTTCATAGGAAATTCTAACATGTTTTAGAGTAAATTGCATGAAAAAATAACGTACTTTAACTTGATTCATATTTTGGATAACATATTTTTAGAACTTCTATTTTGGTGCCTAAAATGTAAAGTTATAAGCATTTAAGAACTCGGGTGATCTGTTGAAGACTAATTTTAGATTAAAAAATTCCATGTCACTGACTACGCCAACCAATAATATTGAGTTGGATACCAGATCATTCAACCGGTTATCCGAGTACTTAAATGTTTGAAATGTTATATCTTAGATACCAAAATGAAAGTTTTGGAAGTTCGTTAATAAGAATTGGAATCAAGTTAAAGTATATTATTTTTTCATGCAATTTATCCCATGTGTTTATATCATAAACAAATGTCTATAATAAGTCAGTTTCTGCACAATTTGTCGAGGATCACAATCAATAAAATCAAATTCAAATCAATGTGAGATGTAAGTTAAAATTTCTAACATTTACAACGTTTGAGTTCATAAATAAGATCACAATCTGTATAAACAGTGGTTATCATACTCTTCTAATGTATTGTTTAAAAGACGATGCCAATTGGGTCTATGTCGACGTTATACGTGGGACATTTTGATCAATTAGCTTGTTTAATCGACATGTGTTGTATAGATACACATTTTTAGAAGATAATCTACTTTTTGTTCATGTTGTTTTCTCAGTGGTAAAGGTGTTGGTGTAATTGTGTAATTCACATGAGTGAGGTCTTGGATTCGAGCCTAGACACCGCTGATTTGTCGACATGAGGCTCAATTACCTTCCCATGATGACTATGGGACCTGTATGGCAGGAATGCTGTCTAAGGTGGTGATGTGGATAATAACAAAATGGAAACTTCTATAGTCAAAGTACGAAATAAAGAAATGGTTTATCCATCACTAAATAGTCAAACTATTGGTATACGATATTGACAAATTTAATATACTAATCTATCGATTGCGTATAGAAGTATCATATTCATATGAATCAAACAAACAGCCAACCATCGCACTGTAAAAATTGGATAGGTTCGATATATGGTCATTGGGGCCTCCTAAAAAGATCTACTGAATTCATCAAGTTGTTTCAAAGAATCAGAACGACCGGTTTTATTTCAACTCTATTATACAATAAGGGGGTCTCGGTTAGGAACAAATTAGTACGGGAGGAGGGTTCTCTTCGATGGAATTGAGATTGGTGTAGGGAACCCCGGCGGTTGGACGTGATCTCAAGGAGCTTATGAATCTGGGATTCCTCAGTTCATGAGATGAGGGTGAAGTGGCGGTGGTTCCTAGTCGAAGACGGTTTTTTCACGGGTAGCAAATTAAGAAGGCTTATCAAGGAGAAAGTTTTTGGTATCTCGGATAGCAGGGTCGTAACCCCAACGTGTAAACTCGTTCCTCTAAAGGTGCACATTTTTATTTGGAGATTTAGTCTGGGTAAATTCCCAGTTCGAGAGTACCTTAACTGTCTTGGCTTTGATCTTCCTTCGACGTTGTGTCCCAAGATGCTGATTGGAGGTTGAATCCTTGATCTTTTTTTTTTCCCGCAACATGTTCTAATCTTTTGCAGGTATGGCAAAGCTTTTAGAGCTGATGTGGAATGTCTTTGCTGTCCCCATTGACGCTCAACGACATTTTAGAACTTCCTAACCGGGTAACCCTATTAAGGTACTTTGTAACCGGTTATGAGGATCGGTCCCAGGTAAATCGGTCTTATGATTTTTTACATAAATTTGTTGTTTGAAGTTTTTTTAAAGAATACAAAAGTGTTATTCTAATACACTTGAAAAATATGTAATTGGATCAATTAGATACACTTAAATACGTTTTTGCGAGAATACAAGTCAAAATCATGAATTATAACAAGAATTGTGAACGTTTGTGAATTGATATCTTCACCCATATACCATATGACTTATACATATTGAATAGAGGGTAAATGAGACAAAAAAAAATGATCATATGGCCGTTGGATATCGGTAATAAAACAACAATATGTTTGAAAAATTGAGCCGATTCTGGATCGGGCCTTCTTTTTTGACAAAAAGTGTAATCGGTCCCGAACAACCAGCCCCACACAGTTCCGGGCCAGACTGCCCGAGTTGGTCCTGATCTCAGTCCTAGGTCGGGCCCATTTGGCTACCCAATCCAATATAACTCAATCAGAAGCCATATCAAATTGTTAAATAATCGATATTGAGTTATAATTTAATCAGTATTTATAAACTCAACTTAACATGATAAAATCGAATACCCTTTTTATATGTTACATGCATTTTCTATCAATACATTCTTAGCATTTTCTTTATGACCGTTACGAACAACTGGTTATCATTTTTTACAATCGTATCACAACCAACCCAACTCACATGGCAAAGTATTATCCCGTACTGCAACCATTATGTTAAAACACGACCAACCCAACTCACATGGCTTAGATTATTCTTCAAATATTTTTGACGGATTTGGATTTTTCAAATTATACCAATCCGATCGGATTGTTAAACTGTTTTAAAATCAATCAACCCACTCATATATAACCCGATTAAAGAGCGGGGTTTATACACCATAAGAAACTATGTGACAAATTTATAAACTCAATGTGAATGGAAATAAAAAAAAAAAACTGTTTGGTTTTCTATAGTACTAGAAGCGTACTCGCGCAATGCAGCGAGATACATCGTGATTTTAATATTTCATTGTATTCTTTATCTCAATCGATGTTATAATATGGCTTTATGTGATTTTGAGAAAGCGATAATGTTTTTATTTTTGAATAAAATATATGTTTGAAAATATCATAAAAAATTGACAAAAATATATCGATATTAGTATCAAATTAGCTATTTGA